GTGTAACAGAGCACTTATTAAACTTGATCTTTATATTGTTGTCTTCAGTAATGTTGAACTGACTCAGGAACGATTGTAATTTTTCCTGATCTTGTGCTGCCTCATTGTTATGTTCACCATTGTCATAATATGCTTTGTCTGATGTTAATGCTGATGCCATGATTGTACTTGATAAGTGACTCTTTTGTTTCTTGTTGTGACTTCTTTGTTTTACTGACCTTTGTTTGTAATGGCTATTCTTTGTTCAATGGCTACTGATGCACTATATCTCCTGTATATGACCATACACCCATTCAAATTAGCTACTCTATAAAGTTATCATAGTGTAGGAGGTGATGGTTAGGAATTGTTCATTTGTTGGATGTTATAAGACTTGTCAGACCTGGAAGTTCTGTATATGGGATTGTTGTTTCCACAACCTTGAACTTTTTACACTGTCCTACACAAAGGAAGGTAACTCACTTGATTAAATACAGCATAACTTGTCAGTATCGATGATTTTCACTAACAGCAGTTCCTCAAAAGTAGCTACAAACATTCATGTAGGTTGTCAGTCCATTAAACAGCAAAACAAGATGTTTCTTAATTTGATTCCATGGGTTGTTTTACAGAGCAACATGTGTATGCCTATTCACAATGACGGCCATGTTTGTGTGTTGGAGGGGGGATACAATGTATGTGTGCTCCTGTGCATGTGTGCGTTTGTGGTGTCAATGTTGTGACGACTTTCATTTAACTTTACAGAAATATTATTAAAACGAAAACCTATCCCAAATTCTGAACACTATGTTACTGTCCACACAAAAATTTATGGCTTCTATGTATATTTATAGAAAAGAATTAGTTACAAAGAAAGTCAAAAGAAAACAAAGTAAAAAATGTTATCTCATTGAAGTATGTGTGAATTCTGAACTTAATGTGTCCAAGCATCAACATACAACTGGATATGGACAGACACACATGCATGAAGGTCAATCTATCAGCATGTGTGAGATATAGTTGGATACGGGCCGATGCACATGGAGGTCAATCCACCAGTTGGCCATTTTGAATAATATCATGGAACAAACCGATGTACGGTTACGAAAAATGAGTGATACTACTAACAAGTCTGAGACATGACCCAGATATGACTACATACGTCTTGGACATATGTATGCAAATTTACTTACATTGTACATCCACTGTCGTTTCAGAAGAACCATGTCCTTGTTGACTATTATAAAATATATTTGTAGCTGAGCAAGTGTATACACCACTTTTTATTCTATTTATTGATGGTAAAATAAATGTTTGTTCGATAAGATCAATGTTACTTGGTGTAGTCCATTTTACTGTTGCGTATGGATTGGCATCTACTGTACAGTTCAGTGATAAGGTTTCACCTTCAACTATTGTAACAGCAGCAGTAACACTTACTGCTGGTACATCTACAATTAAAAAAAAAATAATATTATTTGTCTCATAAAATCAGAACAATTATACATCATGTTTACAACCTTGCTCAATAGTATTGATATTGACTAAAAATGATTTATAATATACCTTTCTTAAAGTTGCATTTTCTTGCCATATACATGTATCCATAGTTACTGATTTAATAGTGAATTTGGTCACCTATAGTTTCAATTATTCAGTGAAACAGAGAAATTCATGACTAACATTATTAAACCTTTAAAGTTTTGGGTGAATATCCATGCATATATATCACCTACTTTGCATAAAGATTAGTCAATTTTTGGCCTTTCCATTGATACCTCAAGTATTTATCACATTTCAATGAAACTTGGTATATGAATGCTCTAAAACAATGCAATGACCTGTTTACTTTGGTTTAAATCTGTGCATATCAATTACCTAATTTGCATAATAATTCATAAATTTCTATTCACATTAAAATAAAACATAATACATAGATGGTCTGTGACATTGTGCATATTAATTATCAGATTTGCATATTAATTGGTCATTTTTAAGCTTTTCCATCAATATCTCAAGCATTTATCTTATTTCATTGAATCTTGGTTTGTAAATAATCTAAGACAATGCAATGATGTAATTAGTTTTGGGTTTATATACATCTATAATAATTACCTAATTTGCACAACACTTAATGTACCCTTGAACAATACACAGACCTAATCAGTTTTGGGTTGAAATCAATGTATAATAATTGCTTAATTTGCATAATAACTGCTCAATTTTGTAATGAACAAAACATTTTA